CGTATGTCATTTGTAATTTGTACGTAATTAATAGGTATAGAGTTATGGATATACGAATAGTTAGAGGAATGAGGTGATGTTATGTCATTTAGGTAAGTATGAGATCATAATAAAGGTATATAAAGGAGACAGTTCTAGGGTTTTTTGAGTTACTTTTTCTCTTTGCTGCAAGCTCGATGCAAGTCTAGCTATTCGTAAATAAATATCATGTAGTCAAGACATATAAGGAAAAAACAGTAGTGAGTAGTAATGGAGAATGATAGTGGATTTCAGGAAGGAAGTTCAAGTTCGACGATAGCGGGTAACATTTTGGGGGATGAAGTTGAGAAAAGTCAGGAGATGAACCTGAGGAATAGTTTGGATAGGTTGACGATTGATACACTGAAGGTAGTATGTAGGGGGGAAGGTTTATCTGAAAAAGGAAATAAAAAGGAGTTGGTTGAGAGGTTGGCAGATAGGGTACTTAGTAAGGCTAAAAGAAAAGACAGGGTAGTGGATAATACTCAGGGTAGGAACATAGGTGAAGGAAGAATGGGCTTTGACGCAGAAGAAAGGTTGCATGATAATATTGCTAGGAATAGATCTTTGGATAATGTCAATGGAGAGGGTATAGGGTCTGAAGGTGCTAGGTATACAGGGTATGGGGCTATTTGGATTTCGATCAGCAGTATGTGGCTCTTGAGAAGTCAATCGAGAAAACGATGAAGGCAATATTAGGGAAAGTAGTGGGTGAGATTAGAAAAAGTATACAACCAGTACACAATATAGAAGAAAATAAGTACTGAATTAAGGAAAAAATGAATAAGGCGTGAGACCAGTTCGAGTATAATGAGTGGTGTAAAGTTGGAAGGTATATGGATAATGCTATCTTGAGCAATAATTGGGATATAATATCAAAAGCAAGTGAGGTAGTAGCTATGAGAGCATTTGTTTTAAGAATAGCGAATCATGAAGGATGGAATATTGCAGCAGAAATTGGAGATAAATCTTCAGATGATCCTATAGAAGTTCTTTTTCATGATAAGCTAACAAGTGCAAGACAATCAGCTAAGAATAAACGACAGAGGATAGAGAATAAACCCGTGTTACCAGGACCACCATTCAATAGCTCACCTATAGGAGTGGCAGCTCTTGCACCTAACCAGGTGATACAGTAGCCTTTAATTCAGCCCTTTCAACCTGTTCAACCATACCAGCCAGTTCAATCTTTACAGTCAAGGTTTAGCCCAGGAGTAGGACCATTCTTTAGTGGTGTTCCTCAGGCTTCATATCAAGTGCAAGAATGTCAAGCTTATGATAATCAGTGAGATGCTTGGAATAAGCTGTGGGTCTCACAACAGAATCAGAGGTCATATAATCCAAGTAGGCCCGTGAGACAAAATAGAAGTGCAGAGGTAGTGTGTTTCATTTGTGAGAAAAGGTGTCATATTACTTGGGATTATTCTTAAAAGAAAACGAATTAGTCCTTTCATGGCTCAAGCTCTAAGGGGAAAGGAAGTTGACTACGATCAGGGGGTAGAGAGTATACCGAAAGGAGTAGAACAAAAGGAAAGGAAGATGGTAGGAAGAGTGCATCAGCAGTCATTAGTAACCTATTGGGAGGAAAAAATAAAACTAGCGGCAGTAGTAATGATGTGGTTAAAGGACAAAGTTCTGCTGTTTGTAAAGGGTGTAAAGACATTAGCTCAAATGGAGGTTCTGAAACAATTCAGGCTGACAAAGGACGAGTTGGATTAGGTAGGCTTAGAGTTAAAGAAATTGAGAGAAACAGAGGCAATAAAATTAGTACATATAGGTCAAGAGAGACTGGACTTTCTACTGGAAGTAAGCCTAGTGTTTCTTGTACCAAAGGCAGGGCCAAAGAAGTACCGCCTAGTGATAGACTTGAGAAGGTTAAATCAAGTATTACCAAAGAAATCGTTCCGTTTCAAAGGACTCAGTGGGTTTTTAAGAACAATAGAAAGAAATTAGTGAGTGATAGTGTTTGATTTGCGAGAAGGCTATAACTATATTTTAATGAACGAATGGGCTCAGCATTTTCTGGGCTTTCAAATAGGGGAAGAGTGGTTCCATTACACAGTACTCCCATTCGGTTTATGCCAGGCTCCATGGATATTTTTAAAATTAATGAGAGCCTTGATTGGAGCATAGAGGTCACAAGGCATTTTTTGCAGAAATCACATAGACGATGTATGGGTGGCATGTCCCACAAAAGAGACATTATTGGCAATAAGGAATCGGGTAATAGAAGTCGATCTGAAGGGATGTGGCTTAGTCAGGGCATTGGACAAAGGTTGTTGGGAGCCTTCGAAAAGAGTAAAGATTTATGGTCTAGTGGCAGATACAAAAAAAGGATTGGTGAAGATTCCAGGAGAGAAATTATTGAAAGTTCAAGAAGATTTGACGAGTTTGGAGGGTCTTTAGTCAGTTTCGGCAAGGAAGTTAGTGGCAGTAGTAGGCTAAATTCAGAGCATATCACGGGCATTTCTACCAGCACAAGTGAAGTGTCTGGAATTGTATGCAATAATAGATGTGGCAAATCGAAATTGTTGGAAGTAGGACAAGAAGGTGTGTTTGACTGAAAAGGCATGGGAGGATCTAAGATGGCTAAAAGAAAACATTGTGAAGTGGAATAGGAAGCCAGTATGGAAACCAGCTCAAATAAAAGCAGTTTTTGTGGATGCATCAACAATAGGATGATGTGGGGTCTATCTGAATTACAGAGCAGTAGGAAATTGGCCACATCCATTCAAAATGGCGAAAATTGCACAGTTGGAAAGTTTAGCTACATTAAGAGCTCTGCAATCTTTTGTAACATGGTTAAGGCACTCTTGGATAATTATATACATAGACAACAAAGTGGCTCTAAGATCAATTACTCAAGGGGGGCCATGTCTGTGGCAAAAGGATATAGCGAGGTTTCTTTGGAAGTTCTGCATGAAGAACGATGTGTGGGTGCATGAGGTCAGATGGGTTCCAAGCTTAGAGAATCCGGCAGATTACCTCACAAGAATTTGGGATACAGGAGACTGGGAGTTGGACGATCAGACCTTCAAAAGGTTGGAGAACAAGTGGGGCGAGATGTCAATAGATTGTTTGGCGAGCCACCTAAACACGAAGAAGGTGCGCTTCAACAGCTACTATTTTTGCCTGAATTCAGAAGCTGTCGATTGTTTCACCCAGAATTGGGCAGGAGAGGTAAATTATACATGTCCACCCTTCGGTTTAATACACCAGGTGTTATCGCCCAGTCGGGAATGCAGAGCACAGTTGTTGTTAATTCTGCCAGAATGGACGTCAGCTCTGTGGTAGCCAATGTTCTTAGAGACATCAAAAAAGGTAGTGGAGTTACCACCGACAATGGAAATCATTATTCCAGGACCATCAGGACAAAGAGAACCATGCAGGAATCCAGCATGGAAGCTGTTAGCAGCAAGAATCAATTGGTCCAAGAATGGTTAAGTAAAGCAGACGATTTGACATTTAGGTCAATCACGAAGGACTATAGGTTAAGGTTGAGTAAGGTGCAGCATTTATTTGAAGAATTTTGTGGATGGGTAGAAGAAAATGTGTGTTCGGCAAAGGTTGAGATGGTAAGAATGTTTTTAGGATGGTTAGAAATGACGAGAAAGGTGTCTTGTATGCAAGACTGTTTAAGAGCAATAGCGAAATTGCATAAACAAAAGAGGTTTGTAAATCCAGTAGAGAATGTGAATGTAAAGGAGGTAGTGAGAGGAATTAAATTGGTAAAAGCTCAAGATCGTCAAGTTGACTGGCCACGAGACCTATTTCCATTGAAAGCCTTGAAATATTATCATGATGATCCACCAGATAAAGCAGATCCAGTAATTTGGTGTCGGGATTTAACTTTAATTGCTTTGGGATTTAGGACGATGCGTAGACCAGGTGAATTATGCAAGTTGAAGTTAAACAATTTAGAAAGAAAGATGGATTTAATCTGGATTAGGGTCAGAAAGGCGAAGAATGACCTATTTGCAAATAACAGATTTGTACCAGTAGAATTAATTGAGAGTAGATTTTGTTCATTGCGGTTATTAGAGAAATACTTAAGTGTGAGGCCAGAGACTGAAGTGGATAAACCTTTGTTTTTGTCTAAAAAGCAAGGAGAAATGTCAGTTTCAACAATTTCGTCAATTGTTAAAAGAATGACTGAGCATGCAGGGAGTAAGGATCATTTTATAGCTCATAGCTTACGTATTGAAGGTGTGACTGCAACAATGGAAGGTGGGATGTCTTTGACTCAAATTAAGACAATTGGAAGATGGGATTCGAAGGCAGTCATTCTGTACTTAAGAGCAGTAAAAACAGCACAAGGGAGGACATCAAGGAAAATGGGGTTTTAGAATTATGATTTTGGTTTGACCTGTTTGAATTATTGTTGTATAATAGTGGTATATGTTTACATGTTATTGTTCATGTTAAGTATGCTTGTATTGTGTAATGAGAAGAAGGCATTCGCGTCAATTTATTTTAGATTTGCAAAAAAAAAAAAAAAAAAAAAAGAGAAGAGAAAGAGAATGTAAAAAGAGAGAGACAGAGAGGAGAAGAAGAGAATGCAATTTGATTCTCTTGATAATCCCATTGTGTATTTCATAGTATTGTTTTAAGGAGGATCGAGTGACAAATGTAATGTCATGAACAAAGTCACATGGCAGTCATTTGTCACAAGATCCATACCCTGTTCACTGACGTATGTCATTTGTAATTTGTACATAATTAATAGGTATAGAGTTATGGATATACAAATAGTTAGAGGAATGAGGTGACATTATGTCATTTAGGTAAGTATGAGATCATAATAAAGGTATATAAAGGAGACGGTTCTAGGGTTTTTTGAGTTACTTTTTCTCTTTGCTGCAAGCTCGACGCAAGTCTAGCTATTCGTAAATCCCTTCCACCCACCCGAAAGGACAGGTTAGGCAGGTAAGGTCATGGTAACACAGCTGGACAAGTTGAATGCCAAGGATAGTGGATAGCCCGGATGAACAATCCGGATATCATACAGTGATAGCGGGAAATAAGCAATATAAGAATGATTACAAGGAGAAGGTTAGGATCGATTCTAGAAAACAGCTGGTGACCACGTGATGCAGCGAGGCGATATCCCATTGTGTATTTCGTAGTATTGTTTTAAGGGGGATCGAGTGACAAATCGGTAAGTTACTGATTGGTAAGTTACTGATAAGTAGGGTTGGAAAATTACCGTAATTTTACGTAATTTACGTAAGTTTGTTTAAGTTTCTGAAATCAAAATTACATGTAATTTTCATCATGTAAATACTTTTTGCAAAAATTTTATAATGCCGGCATTAAAAATAAATAAAAATTACAATTCCGAACATAATGATGGATATCTATTGGTTCTGGCTAAACTTTTGTAATGTCGGTAAAATTCTCATGTGACAATGCACTATTCAATGTAAAGTTACATTACAAAGTAATTTATGTAATACATTCCTACTGGTAAGTTGCCGATTACTAAACAGGAGGAACCGTCGATGTTACACTAATGATTTTTCACCCGGTGTGCAACATATAAAAAAATCATTTTACAATACTAGAGCATTCCGCTAGTACATGTTATGATTATAATCCCACACCATTTTTATTATAATAAAATGGTGTGGGATTATAATCATAACATGTACTAGCGGAATGATCTAGTATTGTAAAATGATTTTTTTATATGTTGCACACCGGGTGAAAAATCATTAGTGTAACATCGACGGTTCCTCCTGTTCGATTACTATTAATTTCTGCAAGCATTAAGACCAATTGCCCGAACAAAGCTTGCTGGTAACTTATCATTTTTTGGTAACTTTACAAACCTTGGTCAAAATCCCGACAAACAGAATCCTGAAAAACAAAATCTTGACAAAAGTTGACCGGACTACAGTTAATGTGGCCAACTTGTCGGGATTTTGACCCAGACCCGTTCTACTGACAATCCCTTTCTTAACGCTTCATTTTCATTTTATTAATATATATTTTTTTACTTATTTTAAATATTTATATTATCTAATTAACGTGATTAAAATAAAATAAATGGTAAATGTTCATGAAACATGGGCCGTATTCTTTAACAACAATCATTTTACCGACAAGCCATCCAAACCGGCATCACATAACATGGCAATTTATATTCAACGGTATTAATGTTCGCCCGTGAACATTTCTTATGCTATTTTTAATGATATAATGTAAAAATAACTATTACTTATATCTCAAAAATGTAAATGTAAATTTATGAAATTTAACTTATTTTATTTAATTAATTAAAAAAGTTTTTTATGTCCAATAAAAATTTTTAACAAATCAATAACATTATTGGACATTATCAAAATGTCTAGTATTTTAATATATCATTTCTGGTTAGTAACATGAATAATAAAATTGCTACGTAGGGATGTTAACAGTCCGGTTCGGTTTGGTTTGGTCCATATTTAGCTCAGTTCGGTCTAGTCTTTTTGGTTTAATTATGATTCAGTTTTAAGATTTAACCTTATAATCCGAATTCATAACAATAGTAGAAACCCGATCTAAAACCAGTCTTTAAGACCTTCAGCATGAATTCATGGCTTTAGTCCGAATTTATAATAAAAGACCAGTCTTTATAATATGCATAAGAGCTAGTATTGAACCGATCTAAATAAATAAACTGGCTTAAGATCACAATTTGGACCAAATAAAATAAGCTATTTGTAGGTTCGGACTGGTCCTAGTGTGGAATGCGGTCTATTGGTCCGGGATAACATCCCTAAAAATTGCTTTGTTAGAGCACTAAAAATGATTATGTAATTTTTTTGAAAAAAAACCTATTTTTTTAACCGATCTTATTTTGACTATACTACATTACTAATTAACTATTGGTTAATTTTCCATCGACTACCATGTGCCCCTTGCCCGTTGCATCAAATATAATTTGAGTGATGCCAAAGTAAACCGGTGTCGCACTTGAAATGCACCACTTAATAGAATTTAAGGGACGATGTATGAAGACTATAAACTCTAGTGATTTGGGAATTAGTTGTGGCGTCGAATATATGACTTATCAAAGAGGATTTGTTAGGATTAGTTCAAAAGAAGCACACGACTAGATATATATGAAGATACAAGTAGACGTACAATAATTTATTAATAAAGCTTCTAGTTGTTCGTGTATGAAGACACGATTACTCTTTATTATTGATAAGTGCGAACACACCGATTTCAAGAGCCATATTGGCCAATATTTTCTTGTTCTTTTAACAGGAGGAACCGTCGATGTTACACGATTGATTCTTCACCCGGTGTGCAACATATAAAAAAAATTATTTTACAATACGTGTTTTGTTATTGAATTTTGAAGAAAAAATAAGAATCATCAATATTAATAAATCATGATTGTTATTGATAATGTGAAACCAAACAAGTAAGAATATAAAGTATTAAATCAAGTTTTTAGCAAAAAATTTAAATAAATTATTTCATTTCAATAATTTTTAATATGATTCTTTTTTTTTTTTATTGTTAAAGGTCATATTTCATAACAGTATTTTTATTGATATATTTGAGGTTAGTTATTGCAGAGATTAGAGTACAACCAGTCACATGTGTAATTTTTGGTTGCTATCTTTAATTAGTACCTCTTTTATTTTTACTTCTTCTGTTTCTGTTTTTTCAAAAAGTGTTATATATAATACATATAAAGGGACCTAAACTTTTTTTTTTCTTTTAGCCTCTTTTAGGCGATTATAATAGTCACTTTCTGAATTCTTTTTTAAAAATTTTTTTGTCCTTTATATGCTATCAAGTGTATCTATATTTTTTTTGATTTATCTTGACACATTTGGCATTTTATTGTTGTGTATACATCTGGTTTTCTTCTGTTAAGTTTTTCTAATGTTGGAAGTTTGTCTATTATATACTTTATAATGCATTTTTTCTGATACTATTTCTTCTTGTTATACAGTATATTTCTTTAGTTATCTTTAGTCTTTTCCAAAAATATGTCTAATTATAAATCATAACTTCTGGTTCTGATTTTAGTTTTTTAATTGCTTTTGGTTCTTTCTATTTTGTTTCTAATTTTGTATTTATTATTAACTTATAAAGCAATCTTATTAGTATGTTAGTATATTTGTTTTTTTACTCTAGACATTACTCTATCTCTTTATAACTAATTTCTTCAACCTATATTATTCTTTTACTTGTTACACTTTTTTTTATTAGGCTATCAGCTTTATTATTTCATTTATCTTTACTATAGTTTTTAATTTTAAAAAATCATATTTGAATATTTTTTTGTCATAATAAGATTTCTAATTTTTATTACTTATATTGCATTCTTCTTCTTGAGAATCTTATTTCTATTTGTTTGTTTTAAATTTTTACTAATATTCTTATTGTGACATTACTATTTGTATATACTTCTATTTACTTTTTCTTTAGTACTGTTAAGATTACTATCTATATTACTACTAACTTTATTATCATTGATGTTTGTTATTTTTCTAGACCTAGTGCTAACTCTTCTTCTGATTATTTTTGTATTTTATCTGTTTGTACCTACCCTATATTCATATTATTTTAATTCTTGTATCTTCTTTAGTTTTCAAATTTGCTGTTCTATTTGTATATATTATATATTTGTTTTTGTTTCTTATTATATTTTTTCTCAAAACTTCTATTATTTCTTAAGTAATGTTCTTTTTTAGATTTTGTCATCTGATTATTTTTACTTTTAGCTTTTTTATTATTCTTAATTTCTTGAGTTTCTATTCTTTAATCACTAGTTTGTTTGCTATTATTATTTCTGTTATTTGGTTTATTACTATTTTGATCTTGTTGCTGTCTTTTTTTATTAATATGTCTAGAATTATATTTAAAAGAATTTTTTATATAGAAGATTACAGTTAATAATATATATATATATATTTTTAAATTAAAGTCCTGTTTTTGGAAGTTAATATTTTATTCAAGTTCTTTTGAATATAGATACCTTTAAGAGCATTCATATATAGGAGGTTACAACTAGTTATATGTACACTTTTGATGTCTAATTTAAGTAATTTACTTATATATTACTATATAGGTTTTATATTAAATGTAATGACTAAAAGTTAACTACAGGTCTTGCTTAGTTAAATTTTTTGCATATACAATTTTAATTTATAACATAGTAATATCTTTAAAGTACACTTATCCAAAGTATTTGATACAGTTAAAGTCCTTAGAATTACTCTATTTTTAACAAAAAATTTATTAGAACCTTCTATGTTCTATATATATCTAACTTAGTTTTATACAATATACTATAGTTTTTTAGTACTTACAGTTATAAGAGTTACTTATTTAATCACTATGTTATACTATTTATATCTTTGTAATTTTACTAGAACTTAGTACTTATCTTTCTTTTTTTTTTGTCATCTTTTACTAACTACTACTCAAAATTAACAAAATTTTCTAAACTTTTAATTTAAATAACCAAGTATAATATATTTTAGTATCTTTTTTTTTAGTGAATCTGACAGTCTGGTTGGTCATATACTCCTCTATACATCTTGTTATCTGATTTATTTGCTTGTTCTTTTGAAGGTGTTTTATAAGTTTTTATCAGTCCAATAGTATTGTTAAAAGTTTATACTATCTTTTTATTTAAGAATTTTTAAATAGGCTTCTGATTCTTCAGTTTTTTTGCTTTCTGTGTCTGGTCTTATTATAAATTTGTATTAAAGTTTTATACAACACTAGTTATAATATTTATCTATATATATATAATGTTATATTTTAATCTAAGCTCTTATTTAAGATAAAATAACTAAAAGTTACATATATGCTAATCAAACTAATTATTAAGAGACAGTTTTCTGTAATACAAATATAATTTCTAAATTTTGTCATAAATAAGATTTGAATACTAGATTTACCACTTGAAGAATAACAACCTACTTACTATACTAAAATCACTATTCTTATCATATATATATTTTTAGTATCTAATTTAAGTACAATATAATTTGTTAAAACTGATAATCTGTAAAAACTAATAAAAAATTAAGCCATCATAACTGTTTCTAAGTCAAAACTGATAACATGTTAAATCT